ACTGTAGGTCACAAGGAAAAGAAAGGAAAGAAATTTAAATACACCAGCACTTAAAATCACTTTATTTCCTGAGGTACTGGAATCATCTGCTAGGGTTTTTTTTGTAAATTTTCCCCGAAAGAAACCACTGACCCAATTAAAACCTTTCCCTTTTTGTCATTCTGTGGGGGAATTAGTCTAAGTAATGATGAGCTGTCATTCCTCTTAGAAAGTGGAAGTGTTTGTCTGCTGTAAAAAGCTGTCACAACACCTCCCCTCCCCCTGAAAAAGCCCAGACCCACAGCAAAAAGGACACTTCAGGCTGGATGTTACTCTTTGTTTCCTGTTTGATTGTGTATTTCATTCTTAATTAATTACTTGGCTTCCAAACGTAAAGCCTGTCCAGTTCCAATATAATATTGAATATTCTGCCTTTCTACATCATCTTCTTAAGGATACAGATTGTTCTCACCATTCGTTTGCTGCACATTTGCAAATACAGTTGCACAGATTGGGAGCCTTATGCTTCTTTTTGTGGCCTTTAATCTCTTCCTTTAAAACTTCTCAATTTCTCTAGTCTCTTTGATCACAAATGCAACAAACCCACCCTCCCTGCAGGTTTTAAGGCAATCCCAGATTATGTGGCTAGGAAAGACAATGAGAGAATTCGAGCTAAGAAAGTAATTGGTCTTGCTCTCTAATGATTCTTGTTTTCTACTGCTGATAGAATGAGATCATTAAGTATCTATCTGCAAATCTTGTGAGGACAATTTAGGAAGGGAAGATGCATAAATGATTAAACAACAACTTCTGCCAGCAAAGGGAAGTGAGAATGTCATTCAACACACTCTTGGAATGGAGGGAATGGTCAGAAAACCTAAGCAGCAAATAAGGCAGAGTTGAAATGGTTGAAAGATTCCTCCTAGTTTTGACAGACTGGCAAAGGCATCTGTCATCCCCACTTCTACCAAGGCATTTTAAAAAGAGGAAAAGAATTTAAAATTGTATTACTTAGAGGTGCAATATGTGGATCAAGTCTGTGGCAGGTACATTTCTTCAGATAAGATACTGGAAAATAGTTCCCATTTAGGTCCCTGCAAATGTGCAGAGATGTGCATGTGCTTGGAGTTATTAGGCTTGTGCTTAAACCATATACTGAGTCAGAGCCTCAGATGACCTAGTCATGTCCATTTAAGAGAAATCTCCATTATTTTATTTAATGCTCAGAGATTATGGTAAAATGCATCTTGTTCCAGATATAGTTCAACTGATTTCATCAAGGGATTGGTTCATGTTCCCAAATTTGTTTAGAAAAAAAGCAAGCAAGGAAGCTTATAAAAAGTGACCTATATTGTATATATAAAATGTAACACATGTTTTTAAGAGTACCCCAATTCTAAGAAAAAGCACTACAGGGGAAGGACCTTTCAGCTCAAATTTGTTCAGATAATCAACATAAATATTTCATGAAACAAGGATTGGAGGAGGAAAACAAGTTCACAAATAAAAACAGACTAAGGTTTTGCTTTGTTCTGTTCTTCCGCAGTTTCAGACGTTTTATGTCCAGTTCAGTAAACATTCAGTGTTGCCTATTTCATTCCACTTCTGTGAACTACCAGGACAAGGTGAAATTGTAGAGTCAAACTTCAGCTTTTCATTTATTTGGATTGTGGTTTCCCAGCACTGTTCTTCTTCCCAGCTGCTGTACTTGCCCCTTGCAGCCCATTGCTCCCTTGGAGCACTTCACGTGGGCAGCTGCATTTCTTTCAGAAAGAACAAAGTAGCTTTCTTGTTACTGAATAGTTTCTGGAATTTTGTATTTTTAACTGTTCCTCTAGGATGAAATGAAATTAACAGAGCATTCACTACATTTATTTTATATTTTCAAATAAATAAATAATAAAATCATATTTATGTTTCCTGGAAACATTAGCTATAGAACATTGTGCCCCAAAGGAAAAAACACATCGTTAGCGTGTTACTGATCGTGACAGTGTATGCACAGCTTTCCTGAATGTTCTGGCACTAATTCATGATAGCCTTTTAACTAGTCCCTATTTCCAAGTCCCAGAATCATAAGCAGAATTTTTTTGCAGACACATGGGTCAGTAAGATGCCTGAATAATTAAATTATAGACACAGGCACAAAGCATGCTATGCTGCAGATGCAAATGGGTCGCATTTTCAAAATATAACCATCCTTTGCCTTGCATAGAACAAAGGACTTGGTGTTCAAAACCAGGTCCTAAAGGACTAAAATCAAAATATGTTTCCAGCTTCCACTGAGGGCAGTTCAACCAAAATTTTGATTCTCAGTATAAGAGCAACTTAAGCCTGATGAGTTCACACAACAGACCCATCCCTAGAGTGAAAAGGTCAGAAACATTCAGAGTCCAGAAATTCAGGCTTTTACACAGTGATGGCATCGAGTTCAAAGATTAGAGAACACAATAAAACCCATCCTGGTTGTTGACTTTATTGTGGCCAAAGTCTCCGTTCCAAAAAGCACAAGGAGGATGAGCAGTGTGAGCAGGAAGTGTTGAACACGTGTTCACATTTAACTGCCTTCTTCACCTGACATAGTGGATTACTCCCCAAAAAGCCTGTGGTGTCATTCATTCAAACTGTTGTTAATGTTGCTCAGGAAGACCTGGCCTTGACCTTGAGAACAGCATTTTCTCCCCTTCCATGTCTGCAGGGGCTGCAGGATGTGATTGCAAAAACTTTGGTATCTTACAGCAGGAGCTGTTCGGGCAGAAGCCGAAAATATATTATACCAGTCAGTGCAAATGCCTTGTAGCTGTTACTCCAGGTGGATTTCGTAAGGGTGCTGTTCTGTTACAGTGTTCACTTTCCTTAACTCTTGCAGATTTTTGACAAGGAAGCGAAGGACCTGGAGCGAGAAGTCTGCTTCATCGACATCGCCAGCGACGAGATCCCCGAGCGCTATTACAAAGAGTCAGAGGTGAGAGCCAGAACCACTGGGAGCTGGTGAAGAGGGGAATTTTTATGTGACATCAGTAGTATTTAAATGCTTTTGATTAGAGGGGGAGCAGACAGCAGCCTCTCTGTCTAGGTTGCCTGACACTTTCTTTTGCAGATCCTTTCGTACCCGTATCAGAACAGATTCTGTTCCAGACCTTTGGTATTCAGCTGAGTTCATTCAAAGTAGAAAAGGACTTTTCTCTGAGTCACGAAGCTTAGTTAACTGTTTGCAGATCTGAGTAGCTTCAAACATTTCTGGTGTCCTTATTTGCATCCCTGCCTGGCTAATAAGCCCTGCAAAGTGTCTCAGCAAAGGACAGATCTGCTGCTGGGAGAAAAGGGTTGATGCACAGTTGCTCAGGGGCAGCCATGGCACAAGACCAAGAAGCATATTGCACGCTGCAGTACATCTGCCACAAAGCATCAATGGCAGCAGGCACAGTCACTCTCTGAAAATTCCCTTGAAAATTGCTCCCGTGCATATTTGATGGGGCACATCTCTGAGGAGCGTGTTTCTAATGGGTCAGTGCAGTTACTGCTCTGACATCAGCAGCCACTGTGCAAATGAAGATGAGCTTTAACCTCAGACTTGAAAAATGATGTTTCAAGAGAAGGAACTAGAGAGGAATGATCAGATCCATGCTTGCATTTAATTTTGGAGATATGATTTGCCTCTGGAGCCAAGTATATATTCATAGCCTCCAATAAGTATGGCAGGCTGTTTGACTACACAAAACGAGACCACATAATCATTTTTAGGATAGAAAATGAAGGCTTGCCAATGCATATATTTCTGTATCAGAGGAGATATGATTTTCTGACTAAAAAAATCAGGTACTTGTTATCTTCCATTTATAGATCCTATTTCAAATGTTATGTATGGGTCATAAACCAAAATTGGGTCTACAGGAGAACGCAAAGTAATTTTATTAGTTTCCTTACATTATGAAACCCATCTGTTATGTACCAAAAATTATATAACACCTCATAAACCAGCTTATTGGTCCCATCATCTTATTTGAAGTCCACGGTCTTCTGGTTCCATTTAGGAACGACTGCTGCTATTGGACAGGTCAGTATGTGACTGTGTTTCAAAGGAGTCATGTAAGATGCTTCATCTCAGTGTGTGTATTTCCAGAGATTGCAAACATGAAGCTTTAACATCAAGCTTTTCAGCTTTGCTTCCTATTTTTAATAGCCAATTTTTAAGTATAATTTCCATATGAATAATCTGATGATAGAGAAAAAAATAAACTCACGGTATGTGAGAAAAGTGTTTCAGAGTCTTTCAGTTGTTGTTTCAAAGACAAATCTAAGAGACCTGATTCTGAGCAAAATGGAATTTTGTATGGGGTTAAACAACAAAAATAGCCTAGCATCTGTTGTTTTTTCTGTACTGATGGATGATTTGTATGTTGCCTACCAAATTCTGTTTCAGAATTCCTGCAAAGCAGTAAGAACACCTTTGCATTTAACTGTGCATGTCTTGTGATTGATACTCAATTAATAACAGTTTAATTCAGTACGTACCGAAGTTTACAAAATAGAGGGGTTTTATGCTACCATGGGATGAATGTGAAGCCAAATTCCCATTTCTGATGAGGCCTCTTATATAATTTAGAGACTATAAAAAGAATTTTAATGTTTGTAAGTGTGATTTCCATCTGTTTTCAATCAGAACAGCACAAAAAAGTGACTCCATGTAAGTGAGAAATGCTCTGTGTCTTCCAAATAACAGTTTCAGAGGTAACAAAAAACATTAAGCTTTTGAAGGGTATTTGACTTACACTATTAACAGCAATTTGTCTGCTTTTAGATCATTTAATCTGAATTCATACGAAATTTAAAGATTAGAAGTGAAGTACAATCCTCAGGATTGAAGAATTAGGTCCCACGGGATAACTGTGCTGACTTCAATCCAGAAAGACCAATGAGAATGATTTGAACTTCAGGCATGTTTATAATCTCTGCGTTTCAATGGATCTTTCACATGCTGAAAATTAAGCAAGTCCTGTGTCAGGGTCAGCATACTTAGTGCCTTCTAGAAATGAGCTTTATATTTATTTTCTATCCTGACCAGCATGCATGCCTCCTCAATTAAAACATGCTTCAAGTTTTTAACTGAAGTTCTCGTTACTTAGCTGTACTGTATATTGGACAAGTATCTCCAGTCATTCAAGCTGTTCCCACACTGCTTGGACTGCTTGCTCTTTGTTAGTGCTCATGAGCCTGCTTGGAGAGGGTGGGTCCTGATGTGAGCAGACAGCACTAAAAACATAGTTGCTATTAAGTGAGTGTTTGTGATTTTTAGTCTGAAAGTGTTCAGTTATCCTTCATAAGCTGGTTGGGTCGATATCATAAGTGTTTCAGAGTCCTCTGTATGAAAAGCTCCTTTCTACAATTTGACCTTTCTTTGAGTCAGTGCGTGAAATAACTCATTGATTGGAACAGAAGGAGCCACAGCAGCTTTAGTGCTGTTTTTCCCATTTCTTTACACCAAAGATACGGTTGTGTGTGTAACACACTATTATCAAGTGAGGTAATAAAGCTGCAGTTACCACAGGAGGGTTCGGGAGATACCCAAGGGACCTGGAGCATCAGACTCAGTACCAACAAGTGAAACAACCATTCTCTGCTTCCCACCACCTGTGATCTAAAAAACTATTTTCCAATGGCACTGACATGAATCTTATAAAAATATCTGTATTCTCCCTTCTATTATAACTTACATAATAATGATGATTCATACATAAAGAGACAAAATGTGTGAAGCATCTTTGTATGTATAATATTCCATTTGAATTGCATACCTCATTTTGACTTTCCTGGTGAGGAGGAAGAGTGTTCCATGGAAGTGTCATGACAGTTGAAGGGAAGATGATTGAGTTCAACTTCGTACATATCTGCTTTTTCCCTTCTCCTGTATATTAACTAAAATTGAAGCATAAAAAATGCAGTTATCTGGAGGCCTCAGGAGAGTTGGTGTATCACTGAGGAACACTTTCATGGAACCTCTGCCAATAGCACCGAGCGTTCTCATGACCAGACTCGTCCAAATTATTTGAATTCCCTTAAGAATGGAGGGCTTATCTCTGAGTGCATGCACAGAAGGACTTAAATCACCAAGTAAACAGTGACTCAGAAGACATTTTAGTTATTACAGGGACATAGACAGGGTCCAGCTCTCTCTTCCACAGAGGTTCACTGATTTCTGCAGTCAAGAGAGTTGCCCTTGCAGGGGCCTGGGGGGTGTAGCTGCAGTGACTCTGCCCGAGCAGGTGACTTAATTTTAGCTTAATGACCATCCACAGGCTGCATTGTGAAGTAGCCACAAGAGTGCTGCCACATCTTAAATACAGCTTTTTTCTTTTTTACAAGCAGAGCCCTAAAAATCCTTAAACTTTTAAGAAGCTGAAATGAGAGGTGCCAAATAGAGAAAGCTTGAATCTAGATCCAAGCTACCAGGTTTGCCTGTTTTGCTGTGAGGAGCCACATATGTTTCCAAATCTGAACATACATATTGCATTGAATACAGAATTTTATATTTCTGTATGAAGAATGTACAAGCCTACAGGTAAGAGTAGCTGTACATTTTGGAAAATCATTTCCTTGTGACTTCACCCCCAATGAATATGTATCACCAGCCAACATGTATTCCCCATATAGACATATATATTTGTCTGAATTATAGAAAAGAACAAATCTGAGCTATGCTGAAGAGTTAGGGCCTCAAGTGAATCATTCACTAACATGAAACCTTTACTGTAGATGTGAGCTACTGAGCAAAATGTTCTCTGCCACCATATTCAAGTTCTCAAAATTAACAGTGTTTCATTTCCTGTTTATAACAAAGCAGCTGAGAGTTGGACAAATGGAATCAACTTTGTAAGTTCCCTCCACTAGGAATGATTTCAGGCAGCTGCTGCAGGGCTCTTCAGTTGCTGTCTTTTTGGACTTTACCCCAGCTGCACTGTAATAGGTCCAGCTCACTACTGTCCATGTGCTTTCAGAATAACAAAACCTCTATCCCATTACAGAGACAGAAAATTATGGTGGTTGAATTAATTCAGCTGCCTCAGCCCCCACGTGAGTGTGTGCAACGTGTCAGCAGGCGCTTCAGGACAGGCCATTGCAGAAAAAAATGCAAATTCTGTTTTCCTCACCAACTTCAGTTGTGAGTTTAGATAAAGGCTGGCTGGATTATCATATTTTAGCACCTCAGAACTCTCCAAATATTTATAATTCCAAAGTACTTAGCTGGCTCTTCCAGAAAATGCATTTCAGTGGAAAATCCAAAAAGAGAAAAATAATGTCTTTAAAAAATGACTGTACGTAACTCTAATAGCATCTTGACATCAACAGATCTTTTCAGAGCCCAAGCTATATAGGCTGAAATCCAAAACCCAGCAACTACAGCTGATGGGAAAATGCCAGATCACATGTACTAAAACCATGAAGGATTGGTTCTGAAATTCAAGATCAAATGTAATGGTCTTCAACTTAAAGGGGAAAAAAAATGGACTGCACTTCATAAGCACAACGGTGGGATACACTGCAAGAGGGGTCTGAAAAAAGAAACCTATGCATAGGAAGGGAAGGAAAGGAAGGAGGGAAGGAGGGAGGGAAGGAGGGAAGGAAGGGAAGGGAAGGGAAGGGAAGGGAAGGGAAGGGAAGGGAAGAAAGGAAAGGAAAGGAAAGGAAAGGAAAGGAAAGGAAAGGAAAGGAAAGGAAAGGAAAGGAAAGGAAAGGAAAGGAAAGGAAAGGAAAGGAAAGGAAAGGAAAGGAAAGGAAAGGAAAGGAAAGGAAAGGGAAGGAAAGGAAAGGAAAGGAAAGGAAAGGAAAGGAAAGGAAAGGAAAGGAAAGGAAAGGAAAGGAAAGGAAAGGAAAGGAAAGGAAAGGAAGAGGAGGCATGGCATAGGCACAGTGCATGTTCAGCTCTGCAGAACATACTCAGCTTGGGGAGCTTTTTCCATGCTAAAATGACCATACAACCAGCAAGGAATTTTTGAGACAGACCAGTGACAAGGTTAGTAAGATGTTCCCTGCAGGCTTCCAACATACAGACAAAGGAGGAGTTGCCAGCTGTAGAACAGTATCAGATCTTCAGATCATGCCTGATGCCATGGCAAAGCTAAGGGAAAGCATGTCCACTTGGATTTGGAAGTTTCCAGTAAACAATGGGTGTATTTCAGGAAAAAATAACATTTCAGAGTTAAATCTGAAATGCATTGCAACAAGGCAGTGCCACACTGTCAGCAAGTTGGTGTTTGCCTCCTGGAAGGGAGGTGACAATTCCACCTGTGATGCCTGTGACATCTGCAGTCCATGAGGAAGGTTAAGTAAATAAATGCTAAATGTTTAATAATGGAATCTGTAACAGTGTGTTGAGCTGGGAACTGCCAGACAGCCTAAGTAAGAAACACTTGGAGAGTGCTAGATTTAAACCATATCCATCACACTGGGGCTTTTCTTCTGTTTTATTGTTATTTTACATTTCATTCTCAAATAAGCCCAGCTCCTGGGTAATGATGTTTCTGCTACGTTAGCAGAAGAGCTATTTTTAAATCACTCTGCACCTGGCAATAATGCATTGCAAATACAGAGTAGGTTTTGTGCCTCTGAAGCAAAAGGATTTGACAGATGGGCTTTCCTAATAAATTGTGCTTGATAAAAGGACGAGAAGGTTATTTAAACAAAAAGATTTTAGCTGTGCCATTACATCTAAAACAGACTGAGGATTTTGCCAGTAGATAAATTAAGGAGGAAACAATAACTAGATGCAGTGTTCATTGGATGAGGGCTTCTCTAGGAAGTAAGGCATAGGTGGCTAAAAGCAAAAATGAGACACTCACAAAATTATTATATTAAATAATAACATAAAAATGGGGTCAGACAAAAGATCAGCTTGCCCAGGTCCCAGCCACAGAGGTGTTTCTAACTCCTATGTGCCACAGTTCTTGCCTAGAAAGTGTGCTGCTTTTCTCTAGCCCAGTGCCTGTGGTATGTTTTGCAAATGGACAAACCTTTCACTGGAAGAGTAAAGAACAGCCATGATCCAGTGCAGGCAGGTGCTCAGCACCTCCTTCTGGGACCCATGGAGATGTGAGCCTGGCACATGAGTCTAATTTGTTCTGTCTGACTAACCCCACCAGTGAACTGCAGCATGAAAGTCAGGAGGAAAAGCAGTGCTGTGTACTAATATTATTTCTACTTCTGTTTAATGAAGAATTGTCATCCCTGCTTCTTTCTTATATTAGAATTTTGCCTAATGGCAGAAAGGAATCCAGGCTGTGAATCTTAATCTGACAGTTTGAAGGCAGGAGTTAGACATATAAAGTCATTCTTAGTTGTGGCTTTCATGTCAAAGTTCTCATTGTTTTCAGTGAGCTTTGTATCAGGCATTGAAGAGCAGAAGATTAGCAGTCCTGGTCACACCAAAGGCCCTGGCGTGGTGTGCTCTGTGGCTGTGGCCATTATCAGAGGCCTAGGGAAGGGGTAAATAAATGGAAAATATACAGATAAATATAAAGATTCTTCCCCTAAATACTTGTTTCCATGAGCCATAGGATAAGCAATTGCTGAGCCAGAATTTGTTTATTTAAAAAATAGTTCAAGACATTTTTATACACCTCATTTTTTAGCACCTGGGTAAGCAGCCCAGTTGTCCTGGTTTGAGGAAAATTGGCTTCATCCTGGCTCAAACCAGGACACCAGTGCTGTTGGTTGTCCTGCAGGTGACCACTCACTGCTAGACAGTCCTTGTGCCCTTGGAGCTGAGAGCCCAGAGCTTAAGCTCTCAAGTTCACCTGGCTCAGTGCTGCTGTGCATCTTACATCCCATCCTCAGCCTCTGAGCTTGAGCTCCCCTGAGGAAGCGGGCACTAAAGTCTTTAACATCTTGATCTTTCAGACAGCACTCTGGAAATGTGTTCCTCTCAATTCTTCCCCTTCCCTGCCTTCCATTCATCAGCCTACACTTTTATAGTGTCAATCCATTAATGTTCTCAGAAAGGCAGGAATTTCCATAAAAGCTATTAAAGATCAGTTGCCCAAACTGTCCATCATTGCCTGGCTCTTTGCTTGAAACTGTCCTGCCAATTTGTGGCCAGACATCATGTCCTTCAGGAGGAATGGGCACGATGAAGGGAAGCAAAGGTGCCATCTCTGGGAGCTGTGAGAGGAATTTGCAACTAGGAGTGATGTCAGGGATGAACTGCAGTAGGTGGATTATTTGTGGGCCACCAGTTTAAGAATTATTTCCACTGTGAGTCCCCTTGTCTGCTGGATTAACTTCACAAAACCAAACCAACAGAAAGCCAAGCACTGCTTTCACAGCATCCAGGGGGCTCTGGCAGCTTGAACGAGAGACATGCATGACTGAGCAGCCATGCAGGTTTGCTGCTCATTGTTTCATTTTTATTTATAAATTCTGAATACTTGATACTGATTCAAATTCATTACATTAAATCCCTTTGGAATGCATTGAAGTTATTCCATTATGGGTCTGGTTATTGCTGGAAGGATATAAAGTATCTCTGCATAACACTCAGTATTATTAGAGTGTGTATCTGAAATGCTTCATCAAGACAGTGGCTCCATCACATGTTAGAAACAACAAACCCTTCTTTACATTAAACTATTTTCCTATGATTTTCCTTTTTTCCCTTCCAAATATTATGTTCATCTCTCTTAATTTTTAATTTTTTTTAAATTAATATATTGATTGCTCCAGAGAATAATCAGTTCTAAAACAACTCTTTCAACCAAAAAATACCTAGATCAATCTGAGGTCAAGCTTTATGCAAGTGAGAAGATGGGCAAGAGCACATGACTCTGAGTTGTGACACACAACTGATATATGATGACACTGACTTGTTTTTTTATGGTGATTTAACATTGAAGCCTTATTATACTGTGAGCTTTAAGCTTCTATTTAGAAAACTGTGTGTCAGCAATAAAAGCAATGACTTTCACAGAGAAGGAAGAAGGAAGAGTATCACCTCATTAGAGCTTTGTAAAGAAGCTGTAATGACAGAGCTTCAGCTTACAGATAAAATCAGAAGCAAAGTCAGGAGATAACTAAACATTAGAAAAAAGAAATGCTGAATGATATATAATCTCACACTGAATGAAAGGCAATTAAGATCAGAGTAGTCTTAGCAATTTGTTAGTTTTTTCTCCTGATTGTCTTCCATTTAGCACATAATTTAAGCACCTACTTAAATCCATGTTTAACTGCTCTTATGCCAAAGGATGGATTGAAAAGATCTTCCCATATCTTACCTGTGGGGAGAGCCACACAGAGCAGCACTGCTGGTTATTCTTGAAGAAAGATTTTAGAAGCTCCGCTATGAATTTACTGAAACTACATTATCTTCAAGTTTTGAAAGTCAATGCTTAACTGTAAAGTATTTCTATTTACAAGATGTAATTAGCAGGATTGGACACAAAATGAACTGGAATTATACCAATATGGAAAAATAACACTTTGATAGATAAACCATATCTTGTACAGATGAAAGGAAACTTTGGAGATTAACTAAATTCCTTATTGTTTTTTGGTCTTGCTGATGTAATTTCAGCACCAATTTATTTGATTTGCCAGTTCTCAAAAGAGAGATAGAGTTGAAATGAGTGTTTTACTCACAGATGCCATGACTCAGGTGGAGCCTGAGATGGCTAAATTGCAGAAATTTCATACTTAGGTGCCCAGCTGGAGATACTAGTGCACTTAGCATTGAAAATGGCATTGGCAGGGTCACATCAGTGTTGAGGTGTCAAGACTCAAATTGGACATGATTCCAGGAAGACAGGCATGGGTAGAAAGTACTGCTAAGTCACAGTGAGGGAGAAGTGGAAAAGCAAGCTCTGAAGAAGCAACTTTTTTTGTTTTTCCAGAGGCCATAAATAACGCTTGGAGTGCATGGTATTGGAATGACTTGCAATAACCTATTTTCCTATAGAAGAAAATGTCCTAGATGATAGGATTGTCAAAGCATCTCCAAGAATATGCCGCCACTGATTCACTGGCTGTTGGATAAAAGTCAGGAATGGATTTTCATATGCCCTGGTGCTCATTTAAGTCCATTTCATGTTACTTTTTCATAATATTTATTAGCATATTTTATGTCTTATCAAAACATTTACTTTAGCAGACTGACAAACAGGACTTCCTCTCCTGCATTTCTCAGCATGTTTTCTTTGTTTTGCAGGATCCTAAATATTTCAAGTCACAGAAGACTGGGAGAGGCCAATTAAAAGAAGGCTGGAGAGAGACTCATCAGCCAATTATGTGCTCCTACAAACTTGTGACTGTGAAATTTGAAGTCTGGGGACTTCAAACCAGAGTAGAGCAATTTGTACATAAGGTCAGTGAAACAGGAGCTGTTTCTTATCCTTCACATAAGCAGAACTTGAGTACTACCCTGCACAGGAATGTAACTGTGACTGTGTAGAAGATAGGGAGCTCACACAAATCTGCTTTCAGACCTCTCAAGGTCTGAGAGATCTGGAGCAGAGCCAAAGAGTTTATATCTGGATATAAACTTCCCAAAGCCTGGAGCTGCTCAGGTCTAAACTAGCAATAACATTTTCAATACTGTGATAAATATATGACCTAAAGTATTTCTGAGTACACATGAAACTGAACGTGCAGCAATGATGTGCAGAATTTCTTACTCCTTTTCCAATCAATCTGCTAAGACCTTCATTAATGGCATAACAGCCAAATGTTAATATTTTCAGACTATTGACTTCCCACATGTTTAAAAAACTAACAAACAAAGAGTTCCAGAACCTCTTGTTGCCTGAAGAGTCTCTACATGTTCCCAGGTGGCTTCCTGTGCCAATCAGAGCCACGTGATGTGACCCAGCACCAACAGATCCACCTTCAGGGGCAAGTTGGACTCCAGCACCTTCAGAGCCAGCACATCTGGCTTTCCAGGGCTTATCTTTTTAGAGACAAAACCCTCAGGATGTTTTTCTCTGTAAACCTTGCCAAAAGACAGCAGTGTTACTTTCCTAACATGCCTGGTTTCTGCAGAGGTATTTACCTTCCCCTTGCTTTGCAGGTGGTGAGAGACATCCTGCTGATCGGGCACCGTCAGGCCTTCGCCTGGGTGGATGAGTGGTACGGTGAGTGAGCTCCACACTCTGCCCCTTGGCAAGGGCTAAGGAACAACAGGTTGTCCTTTGCTCTCCTGGCCCATCACGTCCCACTGTAGGTTGCTCATGAAAAACTGAACACAGTTCCATCTCTGGAATACAGGGAGCTCAGTGGGTGTCCCTGCCCACACAGGGCGGTTGGATCTAAATGATCTTTAAAGGCTCTTCCCACCCAAACCATTCTGTGATTGGCAGCAGGTTCAGAGCAGGCTGTTTCAGGCAGGGAGCCTTGACATCCCATACATCTCATCCTAGAGGCATCAGTCCCTCACCAAGAGCTGCCCCTGCCATGTCATCTATAAGGAGAACCTCACACAGGTTTGAATAAAGCTGCTCATCATGGCATCCTGGGAGGCATTAAGAAGAGTGTGGCCAGCAGGTCAAGGGAGGTTCTCCTTCCCCTTTACTCTGTCCTGGTCAGGCCTCACCTGGAGCACTGTGTGCAGTTCTGGCTCCTCAGTTCAAGAGGGACAAGGAACTACTGGAGAGAGTCCAGCCACTGAGGTGAGCAAGGGACTGGAGCATCTGTGAGGAAAGGCTGGGAGAGCTGGGGCTGTTCACCCTGGGGAAAAGGAGGCTGAGGGGGCATCTCATCAATATCTGCAGGGGGTGTCAGGAGGATGAGGCCAGATTCTGCTCAGGGGTGTCCCATGACAGGACAAGGGGCAATGGTCACAAACTGGTACATAGCAGATTTAACCTAAATATAATACTTCTTTACTCTGAGGGTACCAGAGAACTGGGACAGGCTGCCCAGGGAAGTTGTGGAATCTCCATCTCTAGAGACATTCCAAACCTGGGCGTGTTCCTGTGGGATCTGCTCTAAGGGATCCTGCTGTAGCAGAGGGTTGGACTAGATGATCTCCAGAGGTCCCTTCCAAGCCCAAACATTCTGGGATTAAGACTGCATTAACATGCAGTCATTTCCATACTGCAAACTCTGATCCAACACAATTCCAAACTTTTAGAAAAGTTTTAAACTATTGATAGAGATTGCAGTAAAGAAAAGCTGGAGCTCTAACCTTCTTTCTGAAAAATTGATAGAAATGTAAAACCTACTGGGTCTGATTCAACAGCAGCTGCATGCAAAAAGTGTTCTGAATCCATGGAGCAGCTGTAGGAACGGGCACTTGGAATGGTACAGAGTAATCTGAATATCAAAACAGCCAATGACATTTTATCAAATAAGCTCACAGGGTGTGTGCTGTTCACATGTATTTTCAGTAAGATGAATCCATAACCATAGATACCTGTAGAGCAGTTTCCAAGACATTTCTGTAATATACAGTAGGAATTTGAGATTAGATTTAGAATGTTTAGGAACACCATTTTAGGCGTTTCACAGATAAGAATGACACCTGTCTTTCATCACAACTCAAACATTCTGCATTGCTTAGGAATAGCCCATTAGCCCAACTGGTGCAAACACACACACCTGCAGTGACTGCAGAAACCTGCACAATTCTGTGCTGGAATTTAACAACAATTAATTTAATTAATTAATTAATTCTGCTGATTTTTTGAAAATAAAGAAAAAAATATTTTTGAAATCAAAATGTTCTTATACACTTAATAGTTTGTTAAAATCTTGTGCTATTGTGATCACAAAAATCCTGAAAGCTACTCAGATACCTTCTATTTTGGGATAGCCATGCACTAAGACAAGAATTTTGTATCCAGTTAGAAAAAGTTCTTAAGAGATTTTCTTTTATTATTATTTTTCCTGTAAAATACAGTGATCTGTTATTTTCCCTGTACAAAGTCAGGGAACCTGGTGACTGTAAATAAAGAAGCCTGACTTCATGTCAAAATTCAACCCACAAGTTTTCCCCAGATCTGCCCAAAGTATCTATTAAAACAAGACATATAAATGTTTCTGGGAAGCAAAGTCATCTGCACTTGAGTGGAGTTGCTGATACTGACAAGTGAGTAATCAGGAAGTTCAACATATGGAATAGGTTTAGCCCAAAAACATGTAACCACAGATTTTCCCATCCTAACTCTGAATGCACCCTGTCAAAAACACATTCTCCACCAATGAAATACTGGGATACCCAGTTATCCTGTAGGTTTTGGCTGTCACAGTGAATCTTTTTTACAAAATAATACAGCGTACTTCTAAGTACTTAATAGTCAGGCTAGGGACAAAACCTGAACAGTGTGGGCTTACTGAAAGAGACATGAATAAAAGCTAAATATATAACAAGATTTATAGCAGATTTATGAAAGAAAAAAGAAAGTGCAGAATGTCAGTTTAGGTAACTCTCTGTGCTGTCTGCAGCCCTTACACACTGCATCGTTCTGAAGTAGAACAGTTGGTGAGACTTGCTGACTAGATACCAAATCTTTTATTGCCCAGAATGAGTGAGATCTAATTTGTTTACATCCAGTTCAGTTTAATACACATGATCTGTAAAAATTCTCTGGAACTGCTCTTGTCATGTTTATGTGTGTAGGGAGAGTCTTTCAAACATCATTTTAAAGCGTCCGTGTGCCTCCAGTGTGTCCATAAGCATATTTTAAACCAAAAGGTTGAGAAAGACTTGGAGAGGATGTTAGTCAGCTAAACTGAATCAACTAATCAGTCTAATAAATCAATTATTAAACAGCATGTTATTTTATGGATATTACTGACTGATTGCTGGTACTGTAAGTATGAATGTGTCTTGTCATTACATTTACTAAACTGGATTTAGCTTTGTTGTTAAGAAAATCTACTTTCCCAGTGTGACTTACTAACAAAGAGCACGTTCTCTGCTTGGCAAAGTGCATCCTTAGCATGTTACTGACATGGCTTATGGGCTTGCTTGTCATTCCAGATAACAGCAGAAAGAGTTAGTGGTGTTCCATGCTCCCTTTGGAGCAAAATTGTAGACTGTATTTCTTTTTTGCTGATGAAGTCTTACATTCTGCTACTGATGTAACAGCCAAAGTTGTATCATTCCTTAAAAGATCTCTCATAAAATGCAGCAAGAGCCTCACATCACATAACAAGGAGTGGTGTGATACAAGAATTCACAAATCCAAGTGGCACACAGTAACCTAAGGAAAAATGCAGCCTCAAGAACAAAAGCTCAGGGTACATTTCCAAGAGGGGTACACATTTCCAAGTGTACCAAGCTACTAAAATGCTGTTTCCGTTTGGGGAGTAAAAAAGTGGATTGGCTGTTTTCATGAAACTCTGAAGTTACCAAACTGTTGTAAAAAACAGACCAAATTCTGACAGCCTCCAGGGTCTCTTATTCTCAAGCAGATATCTGTATTGAAAGTGTGGTGATGGAACAGCACAGTCACAAGGCCATTCATTGGGCTCTCAATGTTTTTTTCTGGAAGTTGGGTGTATGGCAGATCTTTTTAAAATCTGTCATCCCTGCTTGGAGTCACACAGCAAGCACCTAACAGATTGGGCACGAGTTTAACAACGTGAGGCATGGCTAGACCATGAGAAATGATCCTGCCAGTGGCATCAGCCTGATATGTAGAATATTTCTAATTCTTATAACTCATTGAACTGCCTGAGGCTACAAAACTGTTAGCATATTCACTATTAACTCACTCACCAGTACAATGGAGTGTTAGTTTCTGGAAGCTAAGGTGATGTGTGCTCTAACAGTAAGAATATTTGCTGGTTAAGACATGTACTATGCAAAGATAACATAAAATATTTTTGAAAGTGCCTGGAAAGGTAAGTAACTATTCATAATATTTCTGTATCTATCCTTTATTCCAAGGGATCTTCTAAAATCTTTTTAGAAGATCTTGGCCTTTGCCAAGGCCTGCACTTCAACACTTTTGCCTATCTTATGTTACTCAGGTACTCCTAAACAATTTCCACTCCTTTCTGTTCTCTGACTCCCTTTGACTCAACCTTCTCACACCTTCCTTTGCTGATATAACTACCTTTATGACTCAATTTTCATAAAGCTAGTTGCTCCATGCCTTTTTTTAAAATCCTTTTTTGGCTTCTGCTGAAAAACCTTTTCCTTAAAAAAATAAATAAATACATCTTAAGTTTGCACTGAATCAATGGAAAATGCCAACAATTTTGAACTTTTTACAGATATGACTATGGATGATGTTCGAGAATACGAGAAAAATATGCATGAAAAAACCAACATTAAAGTTTGCAACCAACATTCATCTACTGTGGATGAAATAGAGAGCCATGCCAAAGCAAGTGTATGTCAATTTTAAAACATATTGCCCATCCTCAGCTAATATACCTGCACAGATCAGAGAAGAGAAATCAACTGATCTTGCTGACCAGTCAGTGGAATTTTGGGGAAGTTTTGCTTCAGTAGGAACAGAATCTTTCTCCATGAAGTGGAGTCCTGCCTTTCGTGTGCACTGTGAAATGCCACTGATACAAGAAAGGGTGGGGTTGGGCTCATATACAGCTCCTTGTCTGCCAGAAAAACAATTCTCAAATTTCAGTTGGATGCAGAAGAGGAAATTAAATATGAGTTTTACTTTCTATTGTTTGAATAGTTAAAAAATGCAAGAATTCAGAGTGCTTCAGTCAAAAGGCCAGAAACACAGGGAGTGGAAAATTTCTATGGGACTGTTACAATTGTTTGCTGCACCAGGGAAAAGAAGAAAAAAGCTAATGAATTATCAGTCTTTTCAAACTAATTTTAATGTTGTCATTGAGTAGCTACCAACAAGGTGAGAAGTATTTTCAGACATGTAGAACAGCAGTTTGTGGAGCAGCTTTCTGTGTAAGTTCTTTGGTTCAGATTCTGAAACTTCAGAAAGTATCTAAGTTCCTAATTTAGGCACCTCAATTAGAGGCCTAAAATTAGAAGTTATTACTCTCTGCAAATAGAAAAGATGCAGTTAAATTTGCTTTTGAAATGTTCTTATTACTTTATTTCTCCTAACTGCACTGGAAAATCCAGTCAGTGAAAATTGTCACCAGTCTGAAGTGATGTTGTCTAAGTAATAAGCAGGAAGGGGATTCTTGTGTTTGTGATGCTGTAGCTCTGTTGGCATCAAGGCTACTCCTTTGCTGAGCAGTAAATTGAGAATCAGTTCCGAGTGTGGCTCTGCATTTCAGGATTTGGCTTGGAATGAAGGCAGCCATCCACATTTCCCATGAGACAGAACTGCCATTGAGCTCAGCACAGAACCTGTAATTAATGAAGAAAAGAAAGAAGACAAAAAAAGAAAAGACAGTCTGAGCCATCTTAGCTCAGAGCAAGGACTTGTTTTACTTGAGTGTGTATCAGAACAGAAGTGAATTTAAAGTGAAAGCTAAAAAGCCAAGTCAACTGAAGGGACAGTAAGTTTTTAATGTGTGAATTTAAAGTGAGCAGTCCTGGAGGCTGCCACTTAGCCAGGCTTTCATCAGTCTTCACTTCAACAGACAAAAACGGAGAAGTCTTCCTGTCCTCTTTCACTTTCATTTATCCAAGGCAACTTTTGTTTCATGTTGTACAGAAGCCCTCAGTTGAAAATAGCTGCAATGAAAGCAGGGGCTTCCTTTGATGTCAGGGTGCTTTTAAATCTTTTGAGTCCAGAAACACTGCACGCTCTGTTACCGGGTGAAACAAAATGCAAATCAGCAAAACATGCTCCAATCTGTCGCCAACGCAAGTAGGTGCAGTTCCCCTGAGACCATCTGGTTATTTCCACCACTTATCTCAGGTTTGAAAATAGCTTAGTCCTCACTCCTAATAACTGCACAGCAACGTAGGCTGGAAAGGTCCCTGGAATGTGGACTGTAGGGAAGTGAGAGGGCAGCTGGCAGCAGGCGGGCTTTTGTTTCTTCCATGTGATGTTGCAATACAACATAAAGCTTTTTTCTACATCACATTTGCAGCCCAGGCTCCAGATGCCTGCAGCTGGGTGATATTAACCAGTATTGATGGACTGAAAGGGCAGGGGTTTGTCATTCATATGGCAGGCACAGCCCCGTGTCTCAGACACCCAATGTGCCTGAATTTTAAAGTTATTGAAACTCCAGTGGTTATCCTTTTAGTGTTTTTTGCTTTAAGAGCTCAAAGACCCTATAAAAGAGTGTGATGAACTACTTCAAACTTACAAATTTAACCTGATGTTCAGTGAAAACCACAACCTTCATGTCAGTTGGCCCAGTGGACATCTTGCGGGTGATGTAGATGTGAAGGTGCAGGTTCCAGAAGAGGCTGCTTTCCTGCTCAGCTCGCCCGTTTGTAGCAGATGCCATTCGGTTGGGCTTTTCTCGGAAGTTTTGCACGGCTCAGCTCAGAGCTCATCTGTGCTGGGATCGCTCTGCCCTCTTGTGGGTTCCCACAGCACTGTGACATCCCTGTCACCTGCAGGAGAAAACTTCACTGCTTTTAAAGCATCTGCGGACCCGATTTTCCATTGCAAAGTGGCTTTAAGCTCTCATCTCATTTTGCCTCTATTTTGCAGGGAATTAAGCAGCGGATTTGTCAGTTGGCCATAAAGGTTTAAGTACAGATTCTGGATGGAAAAGTTGGAAAGCGTGTTGTGGTTTTCTCAAGTCAGAGGGAATCCTTTAGGCTTCACTAGTAGAAGAGCAGAACAGCTTCAGTTTCGTGCATGCAGCTGCAACCAGAAGTCAATAGAAACTGCATGGGGGAGAGAGAATTGTTCACCCATCCCTTGATAATTACAGTAGATGAACCAACTGATGACAATCCTTCACTTGTTCATGCTCATAATTCAGATGGGGGGGGGGGGAAGCAACTACCTATTCATTTGTTGTTTATTTTATTATTATTTTTTAAGTTCTACTTGCTGTGTATCTAAGTGTGTTATTTAACTGCCTGGGAGATGGTTTTATTTTTTCAGCAATTCCAGAGGTAGCACTTCCTTCAGTTCAGATCTAGGTAGAAGAACTATTAGTATGTGATTCATATACTTGATGCTGGTTGTTTATTGTACTCCAATGAATGCATTGCAATACATAGGCATCTATGTAGAGAATCACTTAATGATATGCATGATAAGCAATCATTCCCTGATTTAGAATTTGGGTGGAAGTAGTTCAACTGAGTTAATGAAATGATCATTTTAAGTTATTCTAATGTCTTTATCTTTCTTTCCCTCTCGTTGAAGACATGACAATGGATGAAGTCCGAGAGTTTGAACGAGCAACTCAGGAAGCCACCAACAGGAAGATTGGGGTTTTCCCACCTGCAATATCTATCTCTAACATTTCTATGCCTTCTTCAACCCGCAGTGCTCCATCTAGTGCTCCATCCACTCCTCTCTCCACAGATGCTCCTGATTTCCTAACAGTTCCCAAAGACCGGCCTCGGAAAAAGTCTGCTCCAGAAACTCTCACTCTTCCAGATCCAGCTAAAAAAACCTTTTAAATTAACCCAGCATGTTTCCTCCTGATAAGCCATGTCTACCACAGCAAGAGTGATGTTAACTCAGTCTCTACAAAGGTCATGGTGGTTTGTTGGTTGTTTGTTTGTTTTTTTCTTTTCTTAAAATAATCTTACTGGTGTGGGAAGATTCCCTCTCTCCTCAGACCTGATCCTTAAAACCTTTCAGAGAAGTGCATGCAAGAGAACCTAGTTTATCTATTCCTGAAGTAGTGTTTCAAGCCATATGGTGCATCTCACTGACATACAATGAAATAGTCTGAGGGGAAGCCCAGAAAAGAAAATAGATATTTCTGTAGCAGAATTGTACCTACAAATCCTTATCTAGGTCATAGCATTTGCAATTAGGAGTAGGTATTTAGTAAAGCTGCCAAGGACTTCTGAGGCAAATTAGTGCCAACTAGAATGCAGGGGTAACAGGAAAAAAACCCTCCTATTTTCTTCTTTCATAGCTGATTTTAAAACCCTTCCTACTCTCAGTCTTCTCCTGTGTATCCATAAACCTTTGACCTGTAACTCATTCTACTTGAACACCAACAGCAATCACTCAGATTCACATTTTGCTTAATATGACTCAGGATTTGGGGCCTAGCTAACAATCAAAACTTTTCAAACCTAAAATATCACTGTATTGAAGCCCCAACTGTAATTAATGATATTGACTTTGAGGCCATTGAACTATTTCTATCTTGCACAGAATTTGTAAAAGAAATCACCTATTTCTTGTAAATAATGTATTTTAATAGCTCTCCCCTGTCCTTTTGTGATCTCTTAAGTCTGTATTGGTGTTCATTAATGGTGTTCCATGTGTAAGATTGAAAAAAAAAGCAGCTAAATTGAGCCAGTTGAGAAGCAAAACCAGTTAATTTGGTCTTGTCCTCACTGGAAGAAGAGTGGTAGTTATGCTGTAAGACCTTGAATGTAAAGGAAAGAAAAGATGAGACTCCTTTTTCTTTCCTGCCTCGCTTCTTTCCTAAACAGCACAATCTCTGCTAGCAGAAAGCTGGTTGCAGGCTTTGCCATTGTCCAGGGAAGGGGTGAACAAAATCAGTCACTTCAAGAAACAAGTTGATTCCTGGGGCTGCTCAGTCCCGTGCAGGGGGATGCCAAGGAAACAGAAGTGCTCTTCCTGGTCTGCCTGTGAAATCACTCTTCAATCTCAGGAACTAAAAAGTAGAAAATTATGTTTCCTGGTAGGGAAGTGTAGGCTGTGGAAGGAAGAGGACAAGTGGCAAAGTGTTTTCTTCCTTTCTTCCTTCCTCTTCAAAATGGAAGCTCAGTGAGAATCTTTCCCTGCTGACCCCCATTTGGGGGACTTTCTCCTCTTTCATGCACGTGGCTCTTTACTGAGTGCTGTCGGGATCTGTCACCATTGGCAGCTGCAGGAGATGTCAAATCAGCTGCTGTTCAGTGCCCAGTGGGTGACAGCTGTGACCTGAACCATATGATCAAAGTGGGTTTTGTACCACTGGTGACATGGTACATGGATTAAAAAAAGTCTCGAGAGCTGAACTGTCACTGAATATTGAACAATCAGTTTGGGAATGGCCTTTTGCCTGGACAGGAGGTCTGTGCCATCTTCTCAGCACAATGCTGGGATGTGACTGGCTTGAATGCACTGAACTTCTCCATGGCTGTAGATCCAGTAGAAGTTATGCTGAATGTGTGATATTTATAGGGTAGTTCTAGCAGCAGGACAGGTAATTCCACTGCCAACCTGCACTGAAAACAAGTGTATATTTGTTTTATAGTTCAAATCCTTTAGCTAGCAAAATCCAGCTCTTGGTAGGTTAGCTGTGGTTTCACTTTCTGCATTCTCCCACTTACTGTCCATGTTTTTCCTTGCTTTTCTTCTCAGAGCCAGTAATTCTGTGTGATTAGTAAACTGAGTGGTGATTTTTTGTTTAAAAAGAAGCTGCTGTAATGATGCAAACAAAACTTTCCTGCATTAGTTTATTATTTCACCTTAAAAAGTGTGCAGATTAAGTATCCATTATTATAACTAGTCTGATCTTTTTTATTATTGTTATTTATTTAGTAGCAAGATTGGTGTGTTGGCAGAGAAGGCGTGTTGAAAACATAGAGCATTGTTTGGTTGTGTTTTCATTTCCTGAATTTGGCTTCCATAGGTCAGTGGGTTAGGTCTGCTCCACCTGAAAGTCTACTGGTTTTCAATGAATTTTTTCTTTGTCAAAGAAATATTTGCTCAGCTCTATTCATAATGCCCTGTGCTTACACGCTGCTGGTTTTACATACCCTGTAGCATCCGGGTTTGACACGAATTGCTAGACCAGCACAGTCATTCCTTTACTCATATTAATGGATTGTTCCAAGCCCATGTGGATACATTGCTTATCACAGTAAGTGGGTTGGGAGATAAAGCATGTAGGAAAATGATTCCCATACATGAACAGGACACAACTGCTGCATGACAGAGATGTAGGAGGGACACTGCTCATGTCAAGATAAATGCCAGACAGTGTCTGCATCTGCTGCTGCTGTGGCCCTTCCAGCCAGCAGTGCTGTCCTGGAGGAGGACCAGTTTTACTGACCCAGCAGCCTGAATTCACTGTTGGCCTCAGCAAGGATCCCCCTCAGCCTCCCTGCTTTCATGTTGCTTCCTCATGAAGGCACTTGAAACGATCTGTAATCTTTCCTGCTTTGGATAAGAACTACCCAGGCTTTTCATTGCCTATGGAAGTAACTTCTGCTGTGTCCTGCTTGGCTTTCCCCACCAGTCATTCCCCCCTTGGTCAAGATGAGTTTCAAATGCCTTTTGCTGCTTGGTTGGGTTTCGTTTGGGTGGGTTTTTAAGGCAGGATAACTTTTTCTCAAATATTCCCAGCAAACACACGACCCCCCCAAAAAAATTAAATTGAAAGGAAGGTCTGAATGCAACATCTTGAGGCAACAGAGTTGTTTTTTTCCCTGATTTTGTCCCAGTGCTTTCTGTTGTTTTATTTCAAACATGTATTTTAGGAGAAAAATAGAGAGTATTTTGCAGGTGTTCATCTCTTCTTTTGCAAAAATAACCCATGATTATTTAGTGAGTGCATCTGGAGGGTGTGGTGCCACCAGGCAGAGCTGGAGAGGCACAACAGCCCTCTTCTCTGGCATTGAAGGGACTGAAGAATTAGAGGATTCAGGATGCTTGGGCTGAACAAGGAATTCTTCATCCAGGAGAATCCTGTTCAGAGCAAGTAACATGATGAGTTTATTTGAGTTTCTATTAAAACCTCCTCCCAGCTTTGCTTGTACCTATAGAACAATCAATACAGAATAACTGGCAATTCCCTGCAGTCTTTACAAGGGTAGATCTGATAAAATTTGAAAAGGGAGGTATCAGTAAAGACTATGAGGAGAAGCATATTCCTGAAACACAAACTTAATGGCATTTCTTATGAATGTAATGGTCAATTTTGTAAATGACTGGATAAATCCTATGGAAAGAAACTATTTGACTTTATTACTTTGCTTTTTTATTATTATTATTATTCTGGAAGGTGATTTTGTGACGTCTAGTAGCCAATTTGCATTAATTGCTGCTGTAGAGATTTTGAAATGGAAATATTGGTTCCTTGAATTTTAGTTGGTAACAAGACTGCAACATTTTGTAAAAAGTGCTTTGAAGCTTGCTGCACTGTAACTTCCAAACAATGTGCTCTCATTTGAAATAAGCCAAATGTATATGCTTTTTATGAATTAGTGAGTGCAGTCAGAGAGAATTCATCAAGTGTCAATAGCAGCTTTTCTGTTTCCATTGTTTGGACTTGGGTTTATATGTGTAAATTAAAATTGCTAAGTAAGTCTAACAATGTTTTGCTTTCAATGAACAGCATGGTCATTTGAATTACAATCTCTTGTAATTTTGTTGTGTCACTAAAACAGGTTTCCTTGTTTTATTTCATTTCTGTGATAATTTTATGTGACTCTGAATGTCCAGTAATTCATTTCTTTTCTTTAGAGCAATGATGGCTACCTTAGGCAATACATCACTACCATCAAAGAAGGACCAAGTTTTGAAAAGCTTTGCTTGTTAAATAACACAAGGCTCAGCAGGATCATTTGATTGTCATCCTTCTCATTCATATCACTTAGTTTCTTATTTTTCCAAGTTATTTATTATTTTTAATATTGTATTTTTCCTTGCATTTTGTTGGAAATAAACTACCAACAATTATTCTTTAAAATTGTGGCTGTTTCCTCTAACAAGGTCTCCTCTAGCAAGGAACATACCCATTAACACTTCTACCCCCAGCTCTGCAAGTCATTTCCTTAAAATCAAAAACCAGAAGGAATTGGCCCTGTAAGGAAAATTTAAACCACTTACAACATCTACTAAGTCTTGTTGTGCCTCAGGTTTTTTTATCAGGGCTGGTGCCCATCAGTCTGGTGTTAGCCCATTCATTACTAAATTACCATTTGGTTGACAAGGAAGTTTTTAGTAGGGAATTTAATTCTCCCTGCAGGGAGCCCTGATGTAGTAAACGCTGGAAAGAGACCACTCTGAACCTCTCAGAAGGTAAGGATCCCCCATCACTTGTCTGCAAGTCTTGTGACTTTAGCCAACAGTCCTGGTTCTTTACGCTTTTAAGCAGAGGCATATTCCACAGAAATAACACCTTCCTGCACCAGAAAAATGGTAGTTGCTTATTCAGTGCAGAAATGTTTAACAGCAGCATAGGGCAGGACACAAGGACCAAAGGCCTAGAGAACATTTGAGGTAGAAGCCAGAGAGCACAGAAGAGAGAACCAGGCAGCCCCAGTGATGACTCCTCAGCTGGGAGGTGCCTGGGGGCTGTGCCCTCCAGGGAGCAGGGACTCCTGAGCCTTTCCCACCCAGGGCAGGCTGTGACTGTCCCCCAGGAGGTGAAGTTACAGCTGGGTTCTCTAGCAAGCAGATGTGCTAGAAGCAGGACCCTGGATTCACGGTGCTGGCGACCCACACACCCCAGCAGAGGATCCCTCAGAACCCACCTCAGGATTGGGCCTGACCTGCTTTGTCGGTTTTTCACAGCCTGGGCTTGTCTTGCTGGGCCTTCATTACAATTTGCAAGCGAACAAAACACTGGCACGTGAAAATCCCTCACAAACTGGTTGGTGACCGGGGCCTGCTCCTCGTGCCACCGACGCCGGGAAACCTCCCGCCCTTTCCTTACAGAAACGGGACATCCCTGGGGCAGAGACACGACTGAAGCAGCTCCGACCCAGCGCTTCCCGCCGTGCGGATGCAGAACCGCAGGAGCTTTTCTGTCCTCCCCCCGCTCCTCTGCGGGGAAACGGCGCCTCCTCAGCAGGGCCGGAGGCCGCGGTCCCAGCCGGCAGCAGCAGCGGGCCCCGGGGGCGCTGGAACAGCTCAGTGAGGGGGATCCCGGGCGCGGTGACCGGAGGAGCCGCCGCGGCTCTTCGGGCTCGTAACGGTTAAAACGAAAGGGCCGCGGCTCTTCCGGCGCACGCGCAGTCCCCGGCCCGCCCAGTCTCGCGAGAGCGGGCGGCTCGCCAAGATGGCGGCGCTGCGCGAGAGCTTCACGCTGTGCGGGCTCGGGCCCCGCGGCGGCGTCGGGAGCGGCGGCGTCTTGGCCCTGGAGCCGGGCCCGGGCCCCGACCACGTCCTGCTCACCGACCGCGGCAGGACCGCCACGCTCTTCAAGGTAACGACCCAACCCGGCCGCTCGGCCTCGGGAGGCGGCGCTGCTGCCGCCCCGGCCTGGGGGAGGGTCCCCGCGCGGCCCGGGGGCCGCTCCCCCCTGCCCGGGCCGTCACCGGGCCCTGCTCAGTCTCCTGGCACCGGGTCCCTGGCGCCGCCACCCCCCCGGGGCCGGGCAGCGGGATCCGGGCAGCGGGGGGCCCTCCCATCCCGAGGTTGCAGGGGTTGTAGCGTTTTCCTACCACAGTCAGAGGGCCACGCGTTTGGTCCAGTTGCCGGTTTTGTAACAGCTGCCTTCCTGGTGGCTGGAGGGTGGAAAGGGTCAGTGTGCAGCGCTTGGAACTGACTGCGTGTCCCGGTGTCTCTGAGGGTATGCAGACATTTCAGCAGACCGTAATAACAAACCTTAGGAAAATACTTGGGCTTGTATCCTTAATTGGCTTTCACATTCATGGGGCTAGGGGCTGTATCTTAGTGGATTCGTGAGAAAACCTCCTTTGGGTTGTTTAGTCCCACTGCCAAGACCACACAAGATAAATATGATGGTAAATATATCTGATGTAGCTCCAGGCTAAGGAGAGGGGCTGAGTACCCTCAGAGCAGCCATCTGTAAAACATACATCACATGAGCTAAGACAGGAACATTCATGGCTCTTGGTCACAATAACGTAATTGCAGTAGGAGAGAAAATGTGTGGTTCTGTGTGTGAGTGTGTTAGTGAGTTAAGGCAGCTCACACTGGTGGTGGAAAGTGGTACCTTCACTTTGGAAGAGCCATGCATCATACCTGTGCTTCGTAGCCTGTGCCCACCTGACTGGTGCAGGTCAGAGATATTTCTTACAAGAAAAGAAACAGCTTCTAACTAACATAGAGTTCTTTCCCCTTATTCTGAATTTTTTAGTAATGAAGTCAGAAACAGGAATGTTCAAGCAGAAGTTCTAAGTGTAGCAGTTTCTCTGTTTTAGTATCCTCATTGAAAATAGATGCAGCTGCCTTGTATTTTCTTTCTGTCATGAGAAAGATTCCCAAAATATTCCATGTTAGGTTTTAATTGCAGTATCTGTCTTCTGTCTCTTCTAGGTTTCAGACCAGAAGCCACTAGGTTGTTGGTCACTGAAACATGGGCAGATTCTCACGTGTCCAGTTGTGTGCAACTTTGAAACTCATGAATATATAGCTGTTCATGATGACAAGGTGAGTTCCTTTACCTCTTCTTTGCATTCTGAGAAGTCTCCCTGTTACTGGTTTATGGTGCTTAAAAATCTATGCTTCTCTTGAAGGTTTTAAGAATATGGAAGAACCAAGATATTAACTTGGACAAAGTATTTAAAGCAACGGTAAGTCTCCTACATATGTTTACTTTTATGTTAACTTTTAAATCCTGGGGGAGGGAAGAGATGCTAATTTTCATAGTGCAGGTAATGTTACATTTTAGCTGATCTTTGTCTCAATTTGTCCTTCATGATGTTGAGAATGTTGCAAGGAATCCACTTGGACTGAGAGACTTGATCATCGATATTTTACTCTTAAAATTATTGATATCCCAAGTCCAAAGTTTCTGAGGACTTTCTTTAAAGGTGGTGAATTATGTTCTGCTGGTGGATGTCTTAAACAATGCTTTGTGTTACACTGTGTAACAGCTGCTTGATCTCCTTACCCTCAATTATGTTTTTTTCAATGTCATTCAGAAATGTGATGCTCATTTGAAAGCTTTCCTGGCTTTTTGGTGGGTAGGAATTGACGTTGTTCACAGCATCACAGAAACTGAGCAACTACTAGATCTACCTTATTAGGAATCATAGAGGTTCATCATTGTTTTTTTAGTTTTTTTGTTGAAAGAACTTTTAAAAATCACAGATTAAACACTTGACTTGCAAGGTGATGTGCTGAAGAGCGTAGAATTTGATTTGTTTTCTGTGTAGCTTTCAGCTGATGTGTACAGGATACATTCAGTCCCCAGTGGAGGGCCAGTGGTCCTGTTCAGAGGAGGTGGTGTTCGGACTTTAGATGTCCTTTTGGAAGCTCCACAGCAAGAAATTGAAAACATTATCTCAGATGAAGTCATCAAGTAAGTGACACAATTTTCTCAAGCTTGGTTCTTGCTTGGAGGAATCGGTGATGATTTAAGTTCTTCCCTTGTTTTGAAGGGGTAGAAATCTGAAGACTGAAATCTTGCGATTGTGTGGGTTTTTTCCAACACATTGTTCTTAAAATTATTTATACGTGTATCCTGAAAATAAGAGGCTACTTAATGAATAATGATAAGACTTTATGTGTGGTCCCAGAATGTAAAAGACATTGATACAACTTTCTGGTTTTAGGTGGAGTGAAGCTCTTATGGAAGGTGAACAACCTGTCTTAATTTTCACAACTGAGAAAGTGAGTGAAATACTTTTTAAAAAACTTTCATAGCAGCAATTCTTCAGTGCATTATTTAAAATCTATCACCCACTTATTTGGATTTTAGGAGCTTTCAATGAAATAATTATATTGATTTAATCAGTATTTTGTATGTGCATTGTTTGTGGCACAGCAGTTACATTTAAGTCATGTTTTCAGGGCTGATGAGCCTCATTCTAAGAACTTCAGAGAACAGTTAAGCTTAAATACAGTAGATGATTGTGTCACTTCATTGCCATCAGGACTTGATTATTGTGAGGAACTCAAACAACAGGATTTATGATTAAAAATAATTATACATTAATCTGTCTTTATTCAGATTCTTCTTTCTATTAATCCATTTATTGCATCAAACTAGAACTTCTTTGAGTTTGCAAACTTTTCTGAATTAGGCTGTATGCCCTATAGAAAACACAGATTCCTAATTTTGATTAACACTCAAAGTTAAACAGTACTAGTATTTGAATTTTTATTCTGTCTAACTTGTGTAAATTAAAGGAAAACTTGATTTTTTCTTTTCTTTCAGAATGAGGATTTTTTTGTCTACGTGCAGAAACTGAAGATGAATAGTCTACACAGATACAAGCTTGAACAACAGGAATCATCTAAGCCACTGAATTTCACAGCCTATGTAAATAAACAAATGATCACACTACTGTGTTTGTGTAAGTGATGCGATAATAAAGCAAAGAGTGGTATGAAAGGACATAAAGTGTTGATATTTATGAAGTGCTGTTTATTTTTACCTCTTTAAACTTTTATAAAACAGCTAGTGGTAGAAGCACTGATTAAATCTTCCTGGTATTTTAATGGCTGCAAAAGACTAACTGTTCCTAAATGCTATGACTGCAGTTCTTGTGCTAGCTATACTTCTGTTTTACTCCTTTGCATCATAAAATGACCTTTAAATATCCTGTATTATTTCTTCTTCCAGCACTTACTGCATTTTGCTCTCTTTGGATGTCTTCTTGCTGTACCATATGAAATAGTTTTTCCACAACAACAGATTATAAAAAAATCATCACTTTTCTTTGACAGATTCCAACAACTCTGTGTACAAGGTTCTGGTACCTCTGAAGCAAAACACTGAAGAGGAAATTTTGTCCAAGTCGCTGTTACTAAACCTTTCAATATCTGGAAGAGCTCTAAAAGGAACTTCTTTTGTTGTCCTTGACAAAGACCACGTTGCAGTGTTGGGAAGGCATGCTGCACCTGGTAAAGAATACAAAGGTAACTTGAAAAATCAGATTAAGATGTCTTAAGATCTAAAATTTCCTTAGACAAAGCACTAGGCAGGAAATAGTGCAAATAAATGTTAGTTGGCTCTTGAAACCAGCAGGTAGTTGAGCTATGCTGTTCAGAGCACTAGCTGGAAGAGAACCTTCACCAGTAAACTGTGGGTGGGTTGCAGGACTACACTCACTGCTGGGTGAAGTATTTGCTTTCATGCTGTTCTTGAAGAGTTGAGAAGATGCAGCAAAAGAAATGGTGAATGGAGGAGAATTAAAAGGAGGACTTGGACATAGGTAAAAGGACCTATGCAGGGAAATAGAAGGAATGTCCTTTAAGAAGTCAGTTTCTAAAATAAGTGAAACAGACACTTGAGTCTCATGCCTAAACTTCTGAAGTGTGGGGTCACTGATTGAAGCTACTGAACTTAGCAGTTTATAACAAAATATTCTTCCTGACTGGAAGCCATGCTGGCTGCTGTCCCTTTTGCTGAAGTTTCTTGTTTAACAAGTTCTTCACTGGAAAACCAACTCATCTTTAAATGTTTTTCTTGAGATCTAACCAGTATGACTGGAATATGTTACTCTCTGAGCAATTTCTATTTCTGCAAGTTTAACTTAAAGGAGCAAAGACAAATACAGCGTTTATGTTGCTTTTGGGTTTATGACACCTCTGATTTTTCCCTAGAGTGCCTAACAATATGGAATACAAAATTTCAGACATTGCAAACTTCAAAGGAGCTGCCCCTGGGAACCAGTGGACAAGTAAGATCAATCTTTAATTTGTGGTCCATAAACTTTGTGCATTTGCATGACAGCAATGAAGAGACTGGTGAGTTTCAGAGTTTCTGGAAGAGCAGGGAATGTCAACTTCTGAAACAAAATTAATATTGACCAGTTGATGAACAGTTTTTGTCAGAATATTTAGAAGTGACTTATGGCTATTTCTTTGTAATTCAATACCTTCTTACTTCTGATGGTCTAGATATTGGCTGGGAATGAAATAGCTAATTAAACAGAAAACCCAGACAGTATCTGTTCTGTTCAGACAATTTGCAGTTGACTGCTTAAATGATCCCTGCTTCTCCCTAAATAGCATTTTAAGATGTGTGGGATCAATTAATAAGTAAACTGACACCTAAGTAATAATGCGGTAATGAAATAGAGCAGCTGACTTGTTTTGCCATGAAATCAGACAAAAGGGAATAAAAAAATATTATAAATTGGAACTTAATGCCTTGGAGCAGCTCCTGTGCTCTACAAACAAGTCTTAAACCTACCAAAATAATTTTAAAATAATCTGATTGCAGATTTTTAATTGAATTTGGTAGTAAGGATTTAAACATCAGCTTGTGCAGGAACATGCTGCTCTGCTCAGCTCCTCACTAACTATCTATTTTAATTTTGTAGCTGTGGTGCTATGAGGAGAAGTTTTTTTTCACTCATGGAAAAGTGCTAACAGTAGTTATGTACAAGTGTGAAACATCATCGTTGGCAGCTGCTGTGGGAAAGCTCAAGGACAGTCAAGCCCCTGGTAAGAACTTCTATCATTGCAGTGAAAAGATTTCTTAAAAGAAAAAATTCTGAAATTGTACAAAATTATTTTAGTACAGTCCTATAAAATCAGTTCAATCAAAACAGTTTGAAATAGCCTAACACTGTATTCTGTTCCTCTCTGTTAAATTTACTATTGCTGAGAACACCAAAGCACACAGATGCATTTATTGTGGCTTCACTTAACCTGGGTTGTCGTTCAAATACTAGAATTACTGAAAATACTGAGGTGCTAGCTATGCATATTTTTTAAAAAATGGACTGCTGTCTCCTCTATTTTCAAGGAGTTTGTGATTAGATGGGGCAATTTGAAACCTTCATTCATGAACTTTGATTTGATTCATACTGTCTGCAGTTTAACATTGCATTTGTAAAATATTCTTGCAAGTACTGTACAAGAAATTGTACAGTCATGTATTTCTCTTCCTCTGAGAAGCTAAATGGAAAACTAGTGTGCCAAAAGGGTCATAAAATTACCTGTTGCCGAAATAAAACTGGAAACTTCCTTGGCATAAAATGGCTTGGATTATACTTGAGAAAATGCCTATTACTATAAAAACTTCATGTAATATTCATATTTCAATAAATGTGCTTTACGTGTTACTTCCATGTAGTTTCATTTCTGTGTTCACAGATATGTCTTCATTTGTAAACTGGAATACCCTGGGAGATGAAGAGCTGGTGGTTTCCTTTCAGTCACAGGAGTCTGTAGATCTAAAATCTGAGTCCAAAATGACTGTAAGTTAGGGCGACGTGAAGGTTTGGTTTTGTTTTGTTTCTCTTCCCTCTTCCCCATGCTGATACTTTTACTTTCAGGTGTAGTCACAAGAGAAAATTTCCCTTTGTATTTTCATCCGTTGTTTCTAACACTGTTTCTGGAATTGGACTACCTAGTTATTAGTGGTAATCTGTGCAGCAAGTTCCTAGAACATTAAGTTCCTAGTTACCTTGATTGAAATCCTTATATACACACTTTTTTTTTTAAGCTGAATATTAACTCTTGGTTGTTCTTTGTGATAGTTAAGATCAAAGAGGAACACTGCTGCTGAAGTACAGCCAGACAACTTACCAGTTGGGCAGCTCTTACTAAAGCTAAAAGTAAGTATCTTGAAGTAGTAGTTTAGACACTCTCAGAATATTCTAGTTGTCTTTTAAGCTATTATCTTTTTCCATGTCGTCTTGCACATATCAAGCTGAAAAACCTGCCTTGGATGAGTTGGAGGATATTACTGTGCAAGAATAGTATTGGGGCATGATGAAATTAAAGTTTTGTTATAGGAATGTGTTTGAGGACCCTACAAGACAGGGTTTATAATAGCTGAGTTCAGAAAACTTGCACAAACTTGTTAATTTTTAATATCAATCTTGTAGTAGATAAAATGGGAGGATATTTCAACTGAACTCTGCATTTTTAAAGCTTTTTTATATTCTTATTTATGGCTTTAAAGACATTTTGCATCTGAAAAGTTGGAATGGTAGGAATTCCACTGCAAATCTAGCAGTAAGCTGTTTAGTTCTCTCCTAAAACTTGTTGCACGTGTTATGATACTTCAGGTCACTCCCCTTCCTGTATGAACACACCTAGGAGTTTTGCTGTGTCAGGACACCTTGGTAATGGTGACAGGTGAATTATTGACAGACACTGTTTACCTAAGTTCAGAGTCATTACCCTCATTTGGCTCTTTCATGCTTGAGAGAGACTACCAAAACGCAGAGTAGTGAGGGGGTTTTTTGGAAAAAATTTTCAGATTGAATTCCAAAATTAATTCTGTTTCTATTTGGTTTAATTAGTAACAGTGTGATTCTTAAACCTGTGCCTTGTACTTTTGAGTTACACGGTATTTGTCATTTCCAGGATGCTACTCCAAGTGTATTTGAAGATGGATTGAGACAAATTATATCAAAAGCACAGATGCCAGATTTACAAGCCATCTCTGGATGTGTAGTGACTGCCCTTACCAACAGATGTAAAGCTAATCCGAAGTACTACCCTAAAAATTTCCTGCTAGACATAGTCCAAACCCATGACTTGTCTTACAGGTGATGATTTTTCTTTTTTTTTAATTGTAAGGAGTAGTTTGAAAAAGATTTTTAAAATTAGGAATTCAGTTCTTCATAAAGCACTCTTGAATTATCAGATTTTACTGTGAAAGGTGTTTATGCTTATTCTGTGAAGAAGCTGAGACTTCACAGGTGAATTTTTGTGTAAAACAAGGATTAATGCATCTGCATGAGTTGTCAGTGTAGTTTTCAGCTGGTCTGAACTATGCAGCCTCTTCTTTTCATATTCTTACAGCTTATGTCCAGATTTAATGCCTCTTGCTTTGGAGAAAAAAGATGTGTATCTCTTACAACTCTGCTTACGACGGTTTCCAGATATCCCTGAAAAAATTACTTATGCTTGCTTGAAAGTATTTTTAGGGTAAGTCTTTTTTTTTTTTTAAGTCTTGAATGGGCTATAATCTTCAAATCAGCCCATGACAGAATGCCTAATAATACAGTAACTTAGACTGTTGCAACAAAGGAGCAGTACGTGTTTTCTTCCAAATTAAAAATAAAGAAATATTGACCTTTTTCAAGTCCTTTATTCATTTTGCACGACTATATCTTAGTATATGTTTTTACTTTTATAGTAAGCTTCAAAAAGTTCATAGTGTGTACGACTGTTGGGTTGATGGCATTGCTGATTCTAAGGCTGATAATTTAAATGTCTGAATTTTTCTTCTGCAGCATTAGAGAAGCCTCTCTTCAAGATGTAGATTTGGATCTAGACTCTGTCATCTGTTACATTGATCTTGATTTCGACGATAAAGAAGTTAAGACTGAAATAGTAGAAAACGGTTTCAGTGCAGAGCTGGAACAAGAGATGTGGGACACTAAAATCACAAAGCAGGCCCATCTGACAACTGATGGGGAATTCTGCCCTGTTGGACCACAGAAGGCAGCGTTGTTGTATCCTCTGAATGTTTTAATGAAGGGAAATCTGTGTATTGTATGTGATCTGCATGTTTATGGTCGGTGTTACTAAAAGACACCTCCTGTTGAAACCATCTGCGGAGGTACGATAAGTTCTGATAAAAGAAGTTCCTCCTCAGTAGAATTGTTTACGATAGAAATAGAATCCATTAGCTTTTAAAAAGCACCTGCACCAATTTTAATTAATAGGACAGCAAAACTGTAATAAAAAATGGCCTATGAAGAGAAAACAGCCTCAATTATTTTGACATTTGCCTGTTGAAACACATTAGCCAGTTCCATACTTGCAGTAAATAGAACAGTTCAAGTGGACTGTACTGCAGTAATTCAGTTGCTGTATATATTTCATTCTAGAAATAAAGAAGATTCCAAAAGTTGCAATAGGACCTCTCTCAAATATCCTAGAGAAATACTTTCATTAGAATTCACTTTGGTTTGTAGGAACTGGTATTTCTTTCCTGCAATTTTATTTCCTTAGTAGCACTTCACAGAAATGCTGTTGTCCGTTCAGCTTACAGTGAAACCTTTCTTTTGCCTCATCTGAAAAACCTTCCATCCCGGGAAGCTCTTGTAAGTATGTTAAAATTAAAAAGATAATAAAAAAAAAAACAAAACTTTTTTTTTGTGGAGGAGGGAGAGGGAAGAGTTTTTCAATTGTATATCAGAAACTTGCTACTCTCACTGAAGTCTGAATCACAAACTAATGCATGAAAATGAAATTAAGATGCTTCATTAGATTTAATGTTACTAAAAAGTCATGTTTTTCTATCATATATGGTATAGGAGAACCATAAAGCTTATCTTTAATGTGTAGCACAAAGATATCTATGTTGCTTTAAATTAAAAAAAAAAACAAAACCTGATGAGTATTACTATGTGCAGGATAAAACTCCTTTGTCTGTTAAGCGTTTGTCCTTTAAAGATATTCTGACTCTTCTACTTGTAGCTGTTTCTCAGGTACTTATACTACCTGTATGTGAAATGCAGTGAAAAAATTAATACCACCCTTCCTGGAACACACTCTCCAACTATAAGTCAGGTGAGAAGCTTTTTTTAGGAGTTGTACTTCCTTCAGTTTCTGCAGTGTGTAGCTTAGTGAGTAACTGTTCATATCTAAAATAAATGGAGATTACATTTATTCTATCACGTACTGTCATTTAATATAACCTGTATGAAGTCAGATGTAATAACACTTTTTGCTATCATAAAATAAGAAGCCACATACATTTTGCATTAGAAGTTAATATTTTGGAGCTCAGCTTTTAAAGCAAAACCTGTGCCATTTGCATACTGTAAAGTGTAAATGTACTTTTCTTGCTTCTTTTCAGATTCTGGACTGGATGTGCCTAATACTTGATGCTCACTTCACAGTTATGGTGATGCTACCAGAGGCAAAAGAGTTGCTTTCAAATCTGCATAAGTTTGTGAGAGCCCAAGTAAGTTGCATCTTTTGGAATATTTCTTTTAACATGGACTTAGAATAAGGGTGTTCAGAAGCAGAAGCAGACAACAAGAAATTATATAGTAAATCAGATAAATTCTGTTTTCTGCATATTCCTTCCTGAGCAGGAAATGACAGTTGCTTCTCTTTCTCACTTTGATTTCAAAAGCCTCTATGTTTGTTTGGTTTAAATATCTGAAACTCTGTAGAACCAGACAGTCCCAGAGTATAGTGAAGTATAAAAATAATTAAAATTTCTTTTACTGTAAATAACTGTGTTGGGTTTTTTTTTAGGTACGATTCTACTCGGAACTCAACAAAATTGAAGAAAGTTTGCGAGAATTACAAAGACTCAGTCACCAGAGAGACTGTCAAACATATTCTATTGAAGTGCTGGAACTTATTTGAATTTGAAATGAATTTGAAGTTTATTTTTTATTGATTCCTTTTATGACAAGGATGTATTAGCACTCCATATTGGGGATGTGAAAAGTTGTTTTCTACATATGAGGAGCACAGTTTCTCTGTAGCTACATGGGAGTTGTACATTTGAAACCTGTGTATTAAAAGCTCCCTTTTTGACTGGATGAGAAGCTGGATGCTTGGGTTATATTTTCATGTATAATTTTGACAAATAATCCTAAGAACTTCCTAAAGTAAGTTCTACATGATTCTTGGAAAAGAATTAGTAAGATTATGTGTGGTCCAGCGTCGACAGATGTTCCATGAAATGAATTGACATATTTATTCTACTTGCTTCTTTTATTACTTAATAGTTGAAGTCTCTGATTAGATTCTTCAGAGTTCATATCTCCAACCAGTTCATGAACTCATTTGTCTTTGCTGCTTTGATTTTCTGGGGGTTTTTTTACATTTACAGACTTAGCTTTAACAGAGAAGGGAGGTGTAAGGTATAGGGTAGGTACCTAACACTGTTCTCTCTCCTGTGAGTCATGGTATCATAGCTTGTTAGTGTAGCCTTTCATACTTCCTTTTATCATCTAACCAGGTCCTCTTATGCTGCTTATAAAAAAAAATAAAAATGAAGGGACTTAGTAGTTGAAATATTGAGCTACAATAATCTAGAGCTGTTTTGATGCATCTCATATCTGATAAGACCACCTGCATCCAGAAGCTGCCTACAGCTAGGGAGTAGGAAGAGGTGCACAGCAGGAACTAGACTTTGAATGAAGTAGCAAAGTGCAGTTGTTTAATAGGAAGTCTTGTTCCAAGCTTTATCTCAGGCTGCCATCAGCTGAAGACTTTTCTCAAGCAGAGGCTGCTCCTCCAAAGCATGACCTGCACAGGCTTGCAAAATGAAGTTCCTGGATTTCAGCAGAATTAGCTGTACTTCAAGACTTCTGCTTTAGAATTTTTCTGAAGCTTTTCTGATGTTGAAAGATTGTGTCCAAGATGGATCCTACTTTTAAATACTCACCTCTCAAAATCTTCTCTGTATACATTGGAAAGTTTGGGGAAAGTGAAGAGGTGTATAAAAAAAACTCCAACATTCAGGTAAAATGTAATGCTGTGGACTCTGGAGTGAGTTTGACGTGTCTTGAAGGTACCTGTGCAACTGATAACTGCCAACACCACTCAGAGCCAGAGCTGAAGTTTTATGAGAGGAACATTTGTTGAAGGTATTACAGGTTTAAGTATCTGCTGGATTGTACTTCTGATTACGTTCACCTACAACTGACTTGTTAGAAGCTACTTGTGGGACTGAATATTCATTAAATGAAAGCTCATCTGGGATAGGGGAAAATGGGACAGATAACCATAATGCTGGATTTCTTCAAGTCTAGTATAGAATTGATGGTTGGAGACAGAAGCCTTCAGAGAAGATAGACATATCCATACACATACAGAAGAACAAATAAGATGTTAAAAACTTATTTTTGCTAATAATGTGATTGAATATTAATATCATTCAGCATACCCTTTATTTTCATCATACTAAATAAAATGAAAACTGGCAATATATTGAACGACACCAGCAAAAGTCAGATAAGCTTTTGCTTCCTTAAGGCTGACTTTATTTACTAGCCTAATATTACTCAGCCACACCTTGGTGTCTCATAAGTGTACGTGTAACTGGTTATAGAGCTCAATATTTACATTCAATGCCTAATACATGCTGTGAAGTAATTTGGAGGGAAAGCAGCTCGATAATTTAAGCAAGAGCATATGCTCACTGGTTAATAATGCCATCCAGCTGTAGGTTCTGAAGTTTTTTCCCTTATTCTTGGAGAAAGGAACCCATCCAGACAACAGCTTGGAACAACTAAGCTATTCATCTTCTCCAAAGTGCCTTTTGAAAGGAGTCTTTCTCTCCATCTGTCTTGAGTAGGGAGGCAGTGTAGGGCCTCCTACCTAAAATTCCTCTTCCTGCTGTATTCAGTTAATTTCTAAATATGCTCCTTGAACTATAGCAGCAGAGTCAAAATAGGGACTTTTAAGTTTATTTCCTTATGGAGATATGATTTGTTCTTGAGTGGACATGGTTAGGTGAGTAGGTTAAGGGGTTGTGGTTGATTTCTCTGCACTGAGCCAAGCTTTGTGTTGGAAAGGACTAATTCAAAGTTAACATACTGCTATGCATCCATTTCTCCACCTATAAAATTAAAACTCCTTATGTGCAATTCAGTAAGCACTGCCACATCAACAACTGATAAATAAAATGGGATTGAGAGACAAGGTATTCTTGGTTCACAGTATTCAAAAGTAAATGATTGTCTTTGATCTATTACAGATACACAAAATCCACAGTATTTTAGGGATGTTAATACCTTCATAGTGCTGCAGGCTATGTGAATATTAGTGCAGTAGATACACTAGATACCTTTACCAGATTCTCAATGTGATTCGTATATTTAACATGACCATGATCCTTTGCAACCTTGAAAGAGGTTGCAAAAATTAACCTGACATAAGCAATGTAAAGGTAACTGTGAAAGATTCAGAATATAATTTGAGTGTAAAGGTGTTAACTGGGGTTAAGCAAAGTTGCGTAGTGCTCATACTGTGTCTAGAACATGGCTCAGCCTGTGCAGCTGCACCCAATGTAAGAGTGCAACTGAGTATAAAAGAGATACAGATAAAAAGCTGGATGTGAGAGTGCAGATTGGGCTAAACCCTGCTGCCATTGTAACATTGTTACGTACCTGACACTGCAGCAGGTTTGTGGGGTTAATGAGGTTCTCGGTTTGAGCAACAAGGTAATGAAGAAAAGGTACTTCGAGAATTACTACATAGGAATGCAAATTAAATGATACGTTGGCCATACAGCTGGCATGGTTATGGCATGACCAGTATCAGGCTTTACATCACACAGGTGCGTAAGCAAGAGAGAGAAAATGAAAATGTGAGTACTACTTATCTGCTGATGGGACTCTGGGATCCCAAAGCTGTAGATTCAGCAATGGGAAGAGGGCTGGTGTTAGATGTGAGAGCTGTGTGCCTGGGGCTGCTTCCAGTTGGTGCTGGTTTTGCTCAGGAAACTTGACATCCTGAATCCGAGTGATGGCATCAGAAACCCAACAGTGTAACTGGTTTGTGAAGATGTTTAGCCCTTTGGGGCCTCTGGCGAGTGGGAAAAGGAGAGAACACAAGATAGATGTAGTCCAGCTCTTGTTCTGTAGTGCTCCAGTGAGCTGTGGACGCTGCAGTTCAGAGAAAGTAATGGACAAGAATGCAAAGGGCGGGGGCCGATGTGATCTCAGTCTGTTTTACTTTGCACCCACCCTGGCTGGTGATGCTGAGCTGTGTGAGGGCTTTGCTTTCTGCCCCGTGGGTGAAGACGTCGATCAAGAACTGAGGCTGGTAGCGGTCCTGGGGCCCGCAGGGTGCAGGGGCAGGAAAACCGCTCCTGAGGGGAGACCGGGGGGCTCGGGCTGTGGCGGGGGCTGGAGGCAGAGCCCTTCGCCTACCTGCCCTCACCTGTGCCCCGCGGGGCTGCGCGGCCGGAGCCCCGGGACGTGGAGCCGAGGGGCGGCAGCCAGGGGGTCCCCTTGGGGCGCGGGCCGGGCTGTGGGAGCGAGAGAGACAGAGAGCACCGGTAACGGGCGCGGCTGTGCGGGTGTGGGGAGGCGGTGAGTGCGGGGGGGCAGCGGGACTGCGGCGGCGGGGCAGCTCCAACCACCG